TCAGCCTCCTAAATAGCTTTGATTACAAGGGGGAGCCACTGGCAGCTGGAGGGAGTCATGATTTTTATATATATTTTCAAAACTTCATTCTGTATTGCAATATGAACACATTATGGTAGGTTAAGACATGATGTGGGGAGACCAATTAGGATGCTATTGAAGCAGGCCTGGAAAGATTTGACGGTGACTTGGACTAGGGAAGTGTGAGCGGAAAAAAGGTAACAGATTTAGGAGCTATTTGAACAACTGGGTGCTTGCAGTAATTATTGCAATGCGGAACAGGTTTGGAAGAATGAGTGGAATTTAAGGAGGTTTTCAAACATCCAAATAGAAATGTTAAATAGGTAATTGACTATACATACTCAGAGCTCAAAGAAGGTTTATGTTTTATCTCTTCTTTTGTAAATGTTTTGTTTACTTCTTCTGTTCTTTTTTATATTGGGTTATATTAGTATAATTGTATGGCATGTGCTTAAGTTTTTCTTAAACCATGCCTACTAAGTATACTACAAAATCTCTCTACATATCCTTTCCAACTGTGGTTAATGTATCCTTAATATCAACTGGAGTTGTGCTATTATGTAATAGACACCTCTGATTATATCTTAGTTTGTGCTGACCTTACATTTTACCCATTCAATTAATAAGCATTTATTACTTTCATGGTATGTTCACGATTAGTTTTATAAGAATTGACACTATAATTTTAAGAGAACTTTCACAGTTCACTCGAGCAATAATTTTAGTGGATGCAAATGGAATATTTTAAAACCCTTGAATAAGAAGTGCAAAAGAGTCAAAGATTTAGAATAAGAGTCCTGAAAATAATATTTCCCAAAATACAGGCTTTTAGAAATATTTTACACATAATTCAGAGATATAAAGTAACTGACCCTAAGCAAAGCTCATCACGATCATCATCTGGACTAAATAATCGAGTGGTGACTTTAACTCTAATAAGCAACATCAACTGCACAGGAAGTGACCTTCCCCAGCAGGGGAATGAGATTGGGTTCAGGAACTCAAATCAGATGGAGAAATGATTTTTAAAATATTTACCAAAGCATTTATGCCTACAGTATTTATAGCCATAATGTAAACTTTACCACAATACATATGGAAAGTCTGTTTCCAGATTAAGATCTCAGTATTTCCCATGATTGTATATTGTTACTTTTAAATAATCATTCCAAAAGCCCTCCCTATAGGTTCTATACATTAGCTCTTTGATAAAGTGAAACAGAAGATTTTAATGAAAAATTTTTTAAAAAGAGTAGCATATAAGGTTTTTTTGGCTAAAACAAATTTCTTTAATTCAGTTATATATTCCTTTTTTGTTTTAGTGGTACTAGGGTTTGAACTCAGGGCTTCATGCTTTCTAGGCAGGCACTCTACTGCTTGAACCACACCTTTAGTTCTATATATATTCCTTTTAAATCTGTGAGTTTAAATAATGTAAAGTATGTTTTTCTTTTTTAATGTATTTTCACTATTAGATGAAGCATATTAAATTATTCCCTTATTGTTTACCGGTAAGAAATAGTGAATTTTGAAAGTTCTTTAAGTATTTGCATCAAATTAGAACATATGCCTTGAAATTATCCTTTACTATATGTTAATAAAATTTCCTACAGTTTCTAACTTCATCTCAAAATATGTGCTTAGAAAATGGAAGAAAATATTTAACTACCTGCTAGTATCCCTCTAAATCATGTGGTACATGCCATAAACAAGTAGAAATTACATTGTATTTCATTGACTGTTCTATTGATACTTTTCTACCTCCTACAATCTCAATTAGAATATATATAATATGTAACATTTCCTAAATTTACATGCAAGACACAGGATATCAATAAGTACAAAATTCTAACAATATTAAAGGTGATGAACTGTCCAACCAAACACTGTAGTATTCACAACCAGTTAGGAGATACAATAGTTCAGAGGTTAAGAGGACCATGGGCCCTGCAGAGGGCTCTAGTGTTTTGAATCTTGGCTATAACGCAGTTTGGGGAAAGCTTAGTAACTTTTAGCTAACTTTTTTATCCAAATGTTTTACTTCAGATGGCCAAGTGTGAGGAGGATGCTTAAGAGAAAAGCAACTGTTATTGGCAATTTACTCCACTCTGTGTGGGAGGAGGGTCAGGGAGGTGCTGAAGGTGTGGAAGTGGCCTTCCAGTCAAGAAGGAAATGTGTAGAATTGAAAGATGGATTCTGGCCAATAGGAAAACAGTCTTGTAGGAATTTGCAATAAAGCAGTAGATATCATGCTGCAGGAGAAGACTAGAAACTGTGGCTTTATATTCATATCTTTGGTGGAGTTATTTACAAAGTGAAAACTGAAAACAAGCAATTGTCCCAGTGTAATGCTGAGGATTTAAAAGAAAACATCTTGTATTGTAACAAATATATGGTCATCAGCCTAATGTATAGGTGCTCATTAAGGGAATTATCTGCAATCCTTTTCAAGTTCAAAAGACTAAGTCTTTTGAAGTCTTTTGAACTTTTAATACTTTTAAGATGACTTAAAAGTATTTTGTTGCAGCTGAAGGAAAACCCTGTGCCCAAATCAAAGCTGAATTTTTCTTTTCCATGCTCTGAGGATCTTTTGATTTTAGGCAGAGAATTGAATAGGTTTTTCATTTAGGTTTGAGCCAAATAATTCAGTTTATATTAAATGGGAAAGGAGAACATTTGCAATTAAATAACTGAAGTGTTCACATTATAGAATTAGTTAATTATTAATGAGAATGGACTAGGGGTTATTTATCTTTATGGTTATGTCAATGAAGCTTTGCTTTCATGGGAACATATAATTTTTGTGACCATATCTTGTTTAAATATTCTCTGCTAAATAAGACAGTAAGTTCATGTAACTACAACCAAAGACTTCCTGACCCACCTGTCAACCTCAGAAGTATTAACCTTGCCAAGTTTCACCCAGAAAATAACTGCAAATTCTGTAGGATCAGTTTTCCCAGATAGTTTTTGCTGAGATATCAATGCAGAAAGATTCCTTGGACTGGTAAGCTATTGAGAGTTTTATTAATTGTTAAAGTTATACAGGCTTTGAATCTAAAAATTATCTCAAACAGGGTATTCCATTTCTCCACCTCTGTATTTCTTTTTGTCAATTGTCTGCTCCAATAAGAGTATTCTTTTAAATAACCATTTTAATACAGATTTTTTTCAGTACCAAAATGAGTATGTTTAGGCTTTATAGAAAATTGTATCCTGTATAAACTTTGTAGCGCATTACTGATATAATGTTTTCTATTAAAAATTAGAAAGGAGGGAATGGTGGTGTAACTCAAGCCTCAAGCAGTAGAGCACCTGCTTTGCAAGTGTGAAACCCTGAGTTCAAACCCTAGTCCCATCAAACAATATATATATATATATATATATAAAAGAAAAAAATTAGAAAAGTATGCATCAATTCAAACCAGTGAGTGTAATGGAATACCACTACATTATAAGTTAAAATAATTGCAAATTCATTTCTGAAATATTGGCAGGAAGAAATAGGAAAAATAACCCTTTTTCCCTTCAGAATTGAAATGCCAATTTTAAAGGCACTAAAATTTCCAGCAAGTTTTATGTTGCCTCATTAACATTTCAAGATTATTGTGAGCATTTTATAACTTTATATGCTAACACCTCTTTCCCAACCACAACATTAAAAAAAATGCATGATAAATTTTAAAAAGGAAAAGAAACCAAAGTAAAAAAAAAAAGGAAGATGTGAAAATCTAAACAACATTCATTTTTGTCTTGGTGGAGCAAGATTAGAGGCAGTTTCATCTTTTCCCAACTTCCAACTGATTTTGCTCATTCTTGGTATTCATTTCTATCCCTAGCAGAAATGAAAGGATGAGTATTTGTGAAAGATCAGAGATAAAGGAGAAAGGGAAGATCTAATTTCAGAGGCTTTTAAAATGTGTAATTTTGTCTTTCCTATATCCTAGTTAGAGACATCTAACCACTGCACCTTCAACTTAACCCTTTGGGCCTGGCATGTGAAAATAGTTTCTATAGATTTATGTTGCTAATATCTTCATGTTCTCAATTTCAAAATAGTAAGGACAGGTTGAATGTAAGGAGAAAAAGCCTCGTTTGATTTTGAAACGTTTGTTAATGTAAAAAAAGTAATATTTTCACAAAACATTGAGACATCATTAAAAGTGGCTTCATCTCTCACACATCTGTCAGTCACAAATTTGAGAATGGAATCAACTGTTGTGTTTCATTTTTATCACATTGAACTAAAATGTAACCAGTTTTCAATAACAGATAAGGGTTTACCAGTGTTTTTCCATAAGTGTGCACATTTTGTATAATGTTCTTTGTGAACATTATTGCATGAAGCATTTTAAAAAACTTGATACATAAACAAATGTTTGATGCTCATTAAGCTTCTTTTAATTTGTAAGTATCTTAGAATTGCCATTGTACTTGGGAAAACATTCTGAAAAATGTACTTCAAACAGCTGTAAAGTAGCATGTCTCATTTTTTAAATCACTTATCGCTTGGGCTTAATGTTGCCCATCATCTGAAAGATTCAGTTACATGCTTCCAGGCACAGGCTTTACCGAGTTCGTGGTCTCAGTTAAATCTGGTTAGAAGTTTAAATCTAATCTAATCGAGGACAGGTAGAAACTGCTAGCTGACAGCAATCTTTTGGAGGGAGCTTGCCGCTGCCTCTGCTAGATGCTTTAAGACTGGGAGGCCAGACAGGAACAGGTTAAGGGTGAGGACCAGCACACAAAGAGGAGAGAGGGCTTGTGCACGTCTCTGTCCATTTCTCTGCCAGAACAGTGACTGACAGAGAAAAGGAAGGCCAATACAGACACTGGTTCAGGCTCTAAACTTTTTCCAAGAAGTCTTTCTTAGTTTCTTTACTTTTACAGACCCTCTTAAGTCATCATTGCTTTTGTAACCTTAACATACTGCCTAGCTCTTTGCTCTCCCTTCTCCCTCCCCCCGTCTCTCTCCTCACCTGTCCACTGCAATGGCTGTCATAGAATAGATGCTGGCGAACACTGCTGTAATAGGAAAGAAGTTCTGGAAGCGGCAGTAGTTGGCACCGAAATACCACTCGCTATGAAGCGCATAGATGAAGTTGACCAAGGTGTTGAAGGCGGCCATGGAGGCGTCGGAGAAAGCTAGGTTCACCAGGAAGTAGTTGGTGACGGTCCTCATGCGCTTGTGTGCCAGGATGATCCAGATGACAATGAGATTTCCAAAGACCGCCACAGCCACCACTACACCATACGCCAGAGACCACAGCGCGATGCGCCAGGATGGCTGCACAAACTGGTTGGTGAGGTTAGCCCGGGGCTGGGAGGGCGCGGGGGAAGCCACAGGCGGTCCCAGCGCAGAGGAAGAGAAGTTGCCAGCTTGGACTAGCAGGTGCAGCCATTCAGCCCCCATCGCCCCCGCCGAGGCTCCGTCCCCTACCGCAGCACTCAGGTTCCCTGCGTCCGCGCCCGCTCCCATGCCTCCAGCAGGGTCTGTCCAGTTCTCCGCTGCTGGGAGAGAGGTCATTGTCGCTCAAGTGTAGCTCGGACCTCTGCACAAACCACTGCCAGCCCAAAAGGACTCTCTTCAAGTTCTCTGATCCTGGTCACTTGGTGCCCATCAGTCTTCAGTCCCGCTTCCAGGCGGGACCACAGACTTGCTGGTTAAGCGATGCTTTGAGCACACAGATGAGGAGAACAAGAGCCTCACTCTGTCCTAGGAGTTGTGGCAGACTGGAAAGATGAATAGGTCCGGAAGAAAGAATTAGGGGCTATCCTCCGGGCAGGGGGAGAACTCGGGTCCCGCCTGGCAGAGCTTCCAGGCGCCGGCTGGTGAAGTGAGGATCCTGAGCTGCAGGCGCGCTTTATAGTCTCACCAAGTCCCCTGCTTTGGTGACGTTGTGGGGGCCGCAGAGCTGACGAACCCCTTCGTGGGCTGTGATTGCGCTCCTTTTCTCCATCCCGCCCTTTGAATTTCATTCGTTCACCATTCTTCGCCTGGCAGCTGGAGCTGTGCGTGCTGACACGCACAAGAAACGCTGCACTTTCGCAGCTATTATTAAAATCTTTCCTATTTTGTTTTCCCTCTTGCAACTTTAGGAGTTGCCATCAGTCATTTACTGTGGCGGATACCTCTCTAAACCAACTAAACCTGAGGTGAGGCACTTGCTTCTGAAAGGAAATGCATGGGTGTAGCCTGCTGCAGGCTGTGGGCACAGAGAAACGCACGCTTTCTTTGGTGTCACAGGTTTTTGGAATTTCATTCGGCATTCTGCTTGTGTTTATATTTTCACATCTCACACTATTTTTCCTCTGTCTCCCTCTTTTTTCCCTTTATTGTTGTGATGCCTGAGGATACACTGTGGCATTTACACAGGTTCTTACAATGTATCACATATATCATACATGAATTCACTTCAACCACTCTCCTTCACACCACCCCCACCCTGATTCCTGGAGTAATTTCAACAGGTATCGTTTTTTGCATTTAGTTACATGTGTACACATTTTATTGTCTCCCACTTTTAATGCCCACCCATTCTTTTCTTCCTTTAATGATTGTCATCAGAACCAGTCCCCTCTTTCCTCACGCCTCACAGTCACAGAGAAACAGTATTTTCTCTTGGAGGATTCTTCCTAACACTCAGAGAGTACATCAGAAATCCCCAGGTGCTAGTTTCTTGAAACTCTATGACAAGGCTTAGATCTCTGTGCCCTGGTCAAATGTATCCTACGAGCAATAGAAATCTATACATTTGATTGCATAGTTCTAGACATTTGCTCCTTTGGTGTTCAGAGTTTGAACATGAAGATACGTGGCAATAATCCTAGTTTTCTAGGCAGAAGGGCAGATCTTACTTCTTAGCTCGAGTGCTTTGTGTAATTTATTGGGATGCTCCAGGATAAAAGCCCCCTTTATTACTGTTTTTGGATGGTTGTATAAGGATTTGGGGGTAGCCATAGTCTTCCAAATACACTGAAATGTTTTGAACTTCGACTTCCTTGTTTGAAAATGAAAATTTTCTTTTAAAATATTCTAATTTACAGCATACTTATGGGTATTAGCAATTTCAACAGACTTCCTTCAACACTTCAAGGTAGGAAAAAGACCTCAATAAATATTAGTGCTCTCCTTTCTACTTATCACTGTGGCTTGTAGGTAAATATTTTCAGGTGAAATGGATCTGAGCAGCAAGTAGTTTCAAGGGAAGGTTGCTGGTAATTTGTTTGTAGACATTCCGAATTCTTACATTCTCCTGTTTAGAACATATTCTTTATAAACCCTGCTGTGATTACTACACAAATGGACTTAAGGTAATTGTGGAGAATAGAGTTTCCTTCTTACATGTTTTATAACTATAAGGGCAATATACTTGTAACAGTTGTACTGACAAAATCCTGCTTCAAAATAAACACATTCTGAACATGACAGTTATCAAAAGTTATTTGCTATCTCTTCCCAGAGAGTCCCATGAAAATATGAGATAAATTATAGCTATAGTTAATAAAGAGTTCTATACTTCCTGCTTACTGATTCCAAATTAAGTCATTCTGTTTTAAAAGTAATTATTTCTTTTTTTCCAATTCATTTTCTAGAATTTCTTGAGTGACAAATGAAAGTCTGAAAGTCTTCCTTCCCTAATACAAGGAGGGAAGTTAAGAAAAACTTTATGTGATGGACACACCACTTATTCAAAAGACTATGAAATGGGTTATATAGTATTTTGGTTAATTAAACATATTTTGATCTAAATTTTAGAGTTGCAAAATTACTTGGTTGTATAGAAATGCATTCAGTTTACATTGTTGCTTTCCTTATAATACTTATAGAGTATTTGTAAGTCTGCAATTTTGTCCTCATCAGGTTTACATAATAGTAGAGAGGTATGACCCAAAACAAAACTAAACAAAACAAAATCTAAGTGATAATTATGGGATTGGATATAATGAAAGGTTTAAAGGGTCCTTTCTGTTTTAGTTATGACTTTCCTTCTTGGATCTGCTTACTCAGAATCTCCCTGGATCTCAATAGGGAGGTCAGTATTCATTCATTTTTATTTTCAGGTAAATATTCACATGGTTCCTTACAGGTGCTGTGCTGGTGCTGGAATGGATGAACACTATCCTCATGGACACTATAGTTTAGCAGTATTTTTTTTGTCATTAAAGCAGATGTAGAAATAGTAACAAGAAGATGCACAAAAATGGGAATATTTAACTGTGTAGGAGGATGTTACACTAGTTGGACCCTGGATTTTATCATCTTCTCTTAATTATTTCTTTGTGAGAATATACCTCTGCAAGTGTATGAGGCTGCTGGGAATGTCAAGGATGTAGACAGATACGATTTGGTTTTTGGGGGGGGAAAAAAAAGAAAAAAAAAAAAACAAAATGGTTTTTAATAGGTTTTTATGAATAGCACAATGAAATTGATTTCATTGCATAAATAATAGTACAAATTTATGATCATTTATAAAAATGCTTTACTATTTATTTCTAATGGATCAAGAAGTATTTATTATAAAGGCATATATTTTAGAAAATTATATTTTCTTCTAAATTTTATTTGCCTCATACTTTTGCTTAGACTAACAGTGGTAATAACATAGTAAGAGAAAAGGACATTGTCATTGTGCTAATTAAATCCTTCATCTCCTTAGCAAACGTTGACATTTAGTGTCACATCTTCATATTTGAATTTTATTTTTAAACAGGCCTTCTCAAATAACATAAAACAGGAATTTGTATTCCAGTTAAATGTTGCCTGGCTAGTGGATGTGCTATTTTGGGGAAGAAGAGCTTATTCTAATTCCAGATTTAACGTCTCTGACAATAATCTTCTATATTGGCAGTTTCTCACACTTTTCTTTTTCTGAAGGTTCATTTTTTTTCGCAGTTAACATTGAGAATCTTTTCTTTCTTATCAATTTTGGAATCCTCAATTGAGCCCTTAATTTACACATTTTCCTTTGTTATTTCATCAGAATTGCTTTACATTGGGTAACGTTCTACTGTTTTAGTTTCCGAGCTCCTGTTAATCAAGCTACTTTTGAGTTTCTTGCTGACCAATTCCATGCAAATCATACACCTTCGTTAAAGCATCTTTGCAGTAAAAGTTATTTTTTTGATGTTTTATTTATAGCACAACTTTTATCCCTCTGCCAATGTGGGACCAGGGTGTGAATAATTATAGAATTTTTAAATCTTCTGGTTCTTTTTTGTGTTTGACAGTTCCTTCTAAGTTAATATCTTTCTTATTACATTCTTTTATGAGCAGTAAGGAGAAACCAGGCCTTATCTCCAGCACTTTGTTTAGAAATCTCCAGCTGTAAATAGCATTCTTGGGGAATATACTCAAAAGACTGTTACACAGGTTATCCAGAGGCACCTGCACACCCATGTTTATTGCGCACTATTCACAATAGCCAAGTTATGGAAACAGCCAAGATGCCCCACCACTGACGAATGGATTAAGAAAATGTGGTATCTATACACAATGGAATTTTATGCAGCCATGAAGAAGAACGAAATGTTATCATTCGCTGGTAAATGGATGGAATTGGAGAACATCATTCTGAGTGAGGTTAGCCTGGCCCAAAAGACCAAAAATCGTATGTTCTCCCTCATATGTGGACATTAGATCAAGGGCAAACACAACAAGGGGATTGGACTTTGAGCACATGATAAAAGCGAGAGCACGAGAACATCATTCTGAGTGAGTTAGCCTGCCCAAAAACCAAAAATCGTATTGTCTCCCTCATATGTGGACATTAGATCAAGGGCAAACACAACAAGGGATTGGACTTGAGCACATGATAAAAGCGAGAGCACACAAGGGAGGTGTGAGGATAGTAAGACACCTAAAAAATTAGCTAGCATTTTGCCTTCAATGCAGAAGAAACTAAAGCAGATACCTTAAAAGCAACTTGAGGCCATAGAAAAGGGGACCAGGAACTAGAGAAAAGGTTAGATCAAAAAGAATTAACCTAGAAGGTAACACACATGCACAGGAATCAAGTGAGCAACTCCCTGTATACTATCCTTATCTCAACTAGCAAAACCCTTATTCCTTCCTATTATTGCTTATACTCTCTCTTCAACAAAAATTAGAATAAGGGAAAATAGTTTCTGACAGGTAGAAGGGGGTGGGAGAGAAGTGGTGGTATGGTGTAAGGGAGGGGTGCAGGAGAAATGACCCAACGTTTATGCACATAGAATAATAAAAACAATAAAAAATTAAAAAAAAAAGAAATCTCAGCTGTTAGCCAAATTCATCACTCAAAATTTATCCTTTCCACACAAAAGCAAGACATAATTCAGCCAAATTCTCTGCTACTATATAATAAGGATCACCTCCAATTTCCAGGAGCATATTCTTCATTTTCTTCTGATATCTCATCAAAATTTCCTTCAATGTTCATTTTTCTAGGAGTCTTTTCAAGGTAATCTAGACCTTTGATATCATATGCCTCAATAGTTTTCACAGATTTTAAACATTAACCTAATTCCAAAGGCACTGCCACATATTTAGGTATTATACAGCAACAGGCCCTCTCCCACAAGTCAGTCTGTATTATTTCCATTGTAACTGTTTTTCTGTGATTGTAAAATCACTCTCTGCTGTGCCTCCT